GTATCCAACCAGACGTGTTCATCGTCTTTCGGATCCCAGCCCAACAGTTGGGATACACCAACGCACGCCAACTTCTAAGTGATGGACTGCATCACACTTGACTAAGTCATCACTTGGTCTCACCTCCACTTTTTCCATCCACAGTCTTAATGCGCAAACAAAGCACGTTGCGCGACACCTGGCCTAACAACCGGAGCCTGGTGCATGAAATAACGGTGCTAAGGAGTTCACTCCCTCTTCCTGCACCAAATACACGACCTCGAACAATCTCATTACTCACGCGGTGTTCCCACTGCACCTTTTCCCGATTGATTGCATCCGTAATGCAGTTGAATTGCTCTCGAACGCTTTGATTTGCATCTCTAAGCCGATTGAACATGCTCAGTAGCGCAAGTGAATTGCATCCGGTATCATTTCTACGCGCCAAGCGCGCGCGGTGACCTTGGCGTTGAGCTAGCCTAAAGCAACTAATGACGCTAAACTTAATAACCCTTGCATGAATGTATGAATTGGTGGTGTGTGGTGTTTTCGCTTGGGCGACCTAGCCTGCATTCAACAACGGTGCCTAATCTGAAGCTACTTCTACGCAGCTTAGGGGTACAAGGTTGTCCAAACACGTAATGCGACACCCCATTAGCAATCCTCTAGGTACTTTTGCGCTGGCGCAGTCCAAGTTTTTGGACGACCTACCAACGTTAGGAATATGACGGTATTGGGTCCGGATAACGCGACAGTCAGAGGTGCATGACTGTGAATGACCAGGGGCGGTATGACGGGTTTGCGAGCTGCGCTCTGCTGAGAGGGCTAGCGCCGAAATACGACTGTGGCAATTTGTTACAAGGCGAGTCGACAATGCTTTGTTACAGTAGGCGTCGCTTACTGTCATAGTGGATGCAGTACACCGAGTTGATGGTCCCTGAATCGAATGTGATACTGCGACCGGACTGTCGGCAGTTTGCACCAGCTGATCTTTACACATATGCATGCATGTGTGTACTGGCGCAGACCTAATGTAAGGGCAACTGACACGCATCAACTGAATTCGCACCCCGTCCACAGTTGTGGAGTATGTTCGCACATGGGAATTACTGCATCGTTGCTTGACAGTTTTATCTGACCATATCACCGGCTGTTCTCTAGCAAACGTACTTGACTGACACAGCATATCGGCGAGCATTACTTCAGTTCGTTCCCACGGTAGTTGTACCTGCAAATCCCATAATTCCTCGAGGTCGATAACACTCAATTCCCTATCTAACGGCCTGTGAACACGTAGTACACAAACACACATGACAGTACAATGGCATATAACGGGTCAACTAGATAACGCTTCACATGTCCCGTAGAATGGTCGTAATGAAGAGAGGAAGATTAAGTAATGAACGTACCAATGAAATTGAGTGTGCCTTGGTGATTTAGCAGACATTGCATGCTAACTGGTTTACATCCATTTAGTTGCAACTAATCCCTCCTCACAATTTACATCTTCGGCACGAAGTGGGAAATTCGAGAACACAATTTTATACATGGAATCCCTTTTATAATTCCAAAAAAGAACATCAGAAGACATAGGTTCCGGGATGACACTGTTAGGACGACCAATTAGCGCTCCGGTAGGTTCGGTGTGTCCGGATATCAAGACAGTCGCAGGTGTATGCCTGCGAATGATCGAGATCTTGAGTGCGAAATTTTATGGCGTGCTTGTGAGTAAAGCGACAAAAGTAGCCTGCGTAACTTGCCAGTGAACTCAAAGTTGACAGGTGGCCACATGGGTAAGAGCGAAACATCATGCACGACACTCTGCTGAGAGGGCTAATGCCGTGATATGACTGCGACATTCTTGTGTTTAGGCGTGTATGCAACGGAAGATCTGTGCATCGTAAATCAAACGCAGTACCCCATACCATCCAGCCCAAAGTTAATGTGAGACACTGCAGTTGTCCTTACGTGCTTGCACTGGAGCGATAATTGTGATGTCTTGGTGTTTAGTGTGTGGTCGATCGCGATGACGTCACTTTGGTCGCTTGAGTGGTTTGTGTTCTCTGAACGCTGCACCACTAGCAATTGGCGGACGACCCATGATGCACCGCGTACATTGGCACAACTTAGGCCCTGAATCGAATGCAGTCGACCGCATAGCCCTCTGAAATGGAACAATGGTATATTACGGTTAAAAAAGCAATGCTTAACAAGTCCTGTGGGATGGAAATTATTGTGAACATTAAATTGCATGATAAAGTGTAAAGCGTTTTGGTGGACTCACCATAGACTTATGTAGAATAGCGGAGATTTCCGAGTATTAAAAGTATAAATCCATTGGTTTGGAGTTTGGTAAGACACCGTTTGATTGCGTTTTGTAGCCCCTGGCTAACAAGTCATAAAATGAAATGCAAACGAGACGACGCATCAACTCGTTTTTTGAATATCGCCAGAGATGTCATAAGTAGGGAGGACGTTCCAAGGCTGGCACAGGCGGAGGGAAAAGAAATTTCTACGGCGTTCAAGCCGGCTATACTGTGTTTTCAGTTTCAGAGGACGACCTCTTAGGTTAGTGTTGTGGTTCAATTCCAGCAGCGGACGGCAAATGGGGTTTGGGTTCTTCAGAATCTGGTAAACCATTATGAGATCCCCCGCAAACGCCGATATCGACTACCGTACATTCTTAGAGACTTCAGTCTAAGCTGTTAGGGCCCCTAACGTTCTTGGTTGCCCTTCGTTGGGGAATCTCTAGAGCAATGAGATCCTCTTTCTGCCACGGGTGCCACGCCTGGATAGCATATTCTACATGCGGTCGCACGTAGGCGTTAAGCACTTGCGGAATGAGGGTTCAAACCGACCGAACGCTCTGCGAAACAGGCCGATTACTGTGTTCTTGGATACCTGTACAGCGTTCAATTCTGTCGCTTGGGCGGTACTGTGGCACTGCCTACTGAGGAATGGCGTCCCGGAGAAGTTCGTCTCCATACTACGCGCTCTACGGTCCGACCTCGGGCAGGGTTAGGGTTTATGCCAAGCCTTCGCCTTCCTTTGTGGTCTCCAGTGGAGTTTGACAAGGGTGCCCTATTTCTCCGTTCCTGTTCAACTTTGCCATTGAGGATGTCCTAACGAACGCTCTGGACGATTCGTTGAACGCTGGCGTTGAGCTCCTCCCAAGCAGTCGAGTTGTTGAGTTGGATTCTGCTGATGATATTGTCTTGCTGGGTGATGATCCACACGTCGTCCAACTTGCACCAAACCGCTTGGCGCTTGAAGCATCAAAGTGTGGTATGTACTTTTCGCCATCCAAATGCAAGGCTCTCTTTCATGACTTGCAGGTGCCTGTGCCTACACTCACTCTTGGTGGTGAGATACTAGAGGTTGTGGAGGGCTTTGTCTACTTGGGAAGTTACATCACTGCTGGCGGGGCTGTTGGAGACGAGAGCCCGCCTCGCTTTTTCTAGGCTGAGGCACTTGTGGCGTCGCCACGACATTCGTCTCTCCATCAAAGGGCGGGTCTATTGTTCAACTGTTCGTGCTGTACTGTTGTACGGATGCGAGACCTGGCTCATTCGTAAGGATGACTTGCGCGGGCTATCCGTCTTCGAGCACCACTGTCTGCGTTCCATTGCCCTTGTGTGGTGGCGGCACCACGTAAGCAATGTGGAAGTTAGACAGCATATCCTGGGATGAGGAAGCCACTCGCTCCAGGAGCTCGTCTCGCTGCATCAACTGCGGTGGCTGGGACACGTATTGCGCATGCCTGTCCAGCGTTACCCGCATCGTGCGTTGTTTGCGGTTGCTAGACATAGCTGGAAGAGACGGCCTGGTAGACAGCCTGCAACTTGGAGAAGTCGCATGAAAAAGCTGACGAAACAGTTGGCCTCGGCCGGTTGTTGTCGACTACCTGTTTGGGGTCCGAGAGATGTGGATACTTACTGGTTGAAGACCTTGGAAGCCATGGCTCAAGATCTATGTCAACGGCGGACGTGTGCATCAGTGTATTGCGGTGTCCCTCCTTCATCCCCCTAAAAAAGCAAACAGAACAATATTTAAAAACGGTGAGTAACATACTGCGCACAAAAAGGCTCTTGTTCTTGTTGTTATTTTCTTATCATTCCTACTGTTTCCCTACTCAGCCTTTATTCCGATGACACAATATCTGTACCGCAGATTGTGATATATATATATATATATATATATATATATATATATATATATATATATATCTGCCGGACTCGAGATGTTACGGCGGTCACCAATGGTGCGTTTCCTATCCTCTTCTAGTCGGACTATCGGTTTAAACTTTGTCTAATGCGTGGTTATCTACGGCGCAATATCGATGGGTTGGAGCTCTTGATTGTGTGGAGAGCAATTTTAACCCGGCCAGTCTAACGATCGTCGATGCGTGGGTCAGATTGGATAGCAAGGGCCGACAGCATCATCATCGTCACCAAGACCGTAACTGGCAACACGACTGAAATTGAAATCCCACTCTGACTTCAAATGACTTTTACACCTGCGACCCATGTCTCAGTTGTCACGATTGTCTCCCACTCGCTGTAATATGCGTCAAAAGTGAAACCCTGTCAAATAGATGAATCAACCGATTGATCGCAAATCGGTTTTTTTCACTCAACTCAGTCATGTTGGGATCTTTCAAAATCTCACACGCGCGCAAGTATACCGCTCTTTTTCACTGCGCGAACCCACGCTCTTGGTAATCTTATTAACTGTTGCACTACGGACTACTGGTGACATTCTTGCACTGCGGTGCTCGATGGTAGTTGATCTTGATTGCTTACGTTGAAGTGCAATCAATCTAGATGGAAAATTACTATTACCAGTTACCTACTGTACATCGTTCGAAGGTCAGACAACCATCATTTTTGTGTGTATGTACCGTGTTTGCCGTACTACTCACACGTATTTCTGCTCTCCCCACATATACGATAGCTCGTCTCGGTCATCTTTTCCGATATCGACCTTGTTTTCATATCATGTACTTGTCTTGACCTTTGTAGCCGAAGTGAAGCGCGTGGGCGATATAATGTTCGGTTTGGCTACCCAATGTGTACAGTCCAAGAATGTAAACAAAACCTCACCTCAGACTTTGTCCAACTTGTGTCTCAAAATCAACGTCAAATTGGGTGGCATCAATTCCATCATCGTACCAAGCGTTCGACCCGCCGTCTTTCGCGAGCCTGTCATCTTTCTGGGTGCTGATGTGACGCATCCACCCGCCGGGGACAAAACCAAGCCTAGCATTGCCGCGGTGGTTGCAAGCATGGACGCACACCCAAGTCGGTATTCGGCTACTGTCCGTGTGCAGTCACACCGACAGGAGGTTATCCAGGACTTGTACCCCATGGTGAAAAATTTGCTACTTCAGTTCTATCGTGCTACACGGTTCAAACCCGTGCGAATTATTTACTATCGGGATGGAGTGAGCGAAGGCCAGTTTCTACATGTGAGTCTTCACTCTTTTTCTCTTTGTAAGCTGCAGTACAATGTTGTAGACCCTGATCTAGGCCAGAGCTGCATTTCTTTTATCTTACGCACTCCGTTCCGTCTGTAGTGATTTCCTACACCGATGAAACCTCGTATTCTGCTTTATCTTGATCAATATAACCTTATTGTATTACTGTATCCTCCTCTCGCTTAAATTGGTTGTGGATGAGAAGCAGTTTCACCGCCACACTTCTCATCTGCACTAGCAGTAGAATGAGAAGTGACTTTCCCTACTCAATGTCCGCGTGTTTTACGAAGGTCATTGCTGCTGATTCTAATCCCAAGCAGTGAAAGGTAATGGGACCTATGGCTAAGCCTATCAGCCACGTTTGTTTCGATTGGAGTTCCTATTTCCTGATGCTTCAAAACTATTGTATCGTTCAACCAATTTGTTAAGGCAGTCTTGATGCTTCCAGTCCACTTCGAACTGGGCTTCTATCTTTCCAGTTACCCCCTTCCATTGATCTGAATTCGATCGAGCATGCTTGGTTTGCATATTTATCTCATTTGAGTCCAAATTTCATAGTAGAGCGGTGGTCAGCGGTTCAGTATCTATGGATTAGCTGTGTTCGTACGACCAGGGACTCAGGACAGTGTTTCGCATATCGTGGCAGTCACCAAGTCTAGCCCAAGATGACACTTCGTTTTGGTCTCTTCCGACCATTTTGTGCTTACGTTATATGGACGTGCGTTCCACCTCTTTCTAGTTAAGTCTTCATTGTCGCTCCGATTGCGGTAGATTCATTTTCACTCTGAATAGCTACGCATTTTTCTCCACACTGAGATGATGGGATGGCGTCCATTTCTGTAAAAACAGACCCTCGCCTCATCCACGCCGCCTTGCGAAAAGGTCTTTGGGCCAAAGGATTTGGTTCAGAACCCTAATCATCCTCCTGTTTAGGTCTGGGCGCCCTGGCCCACGTACAACCATGACTATTTCCTCAAAATTCAACCATTTCCTGCACCGGCCGTCGCGCAGCTCATCAATGGTCGTCTTATCTGCTACATACAGCAGGGTGGATAAGTGAAGATTTGCTACGGCTAGCGCCTCCCTTCTCTCTTTTCCATTTATTTCTCTTACTTTCATCCTGACCCCCATTACCAACCTTTCTTCTATAATTCCCAGCTTAATTTACAGCAACCGAAGTGCCACTGGGGTAGAACCATCTGCAGTTATCTTCCCGTACTCGACGCCAATCGCCAACAGCTCCTTATAATAAATAATAATAATAATAATATGTCAGCTGTTCGCCGTAACGGCGCTTCGCTGCCGTGCGACGACCACCAGTCACACGCGGGCTGAGTGTACCGCGAGGACGCCTACTCCTTATAAAGCCACTCTGCTCCGTTTTGCTAGCGGCATTCAACGTTCGCCCTCCAAAACAAATCGATCAACAGACTGCACTCGCACGTACCTTGGACGCACTGGGTATTGAAGTGTGTTGTGTGTCCGAAACTAGGATCAATGACCCTAATGGGGTTGTTAAATTAACTGCGCCCGGCTTGTCCTCTCGCTATTTTTCACTCGGATCCGGAGACACTGATGCGGCAATCACTGGTCATGCTGGGGTGCGCATCATTCTGAGCTCCAAGGCTGAGTTCTCGTTGGTTAAATAGATTCCGGTGAACAGCCGTTTGTGTGCAGTCCATTTGACCACATTTACTTAGGTTGATTCACGAAACAGTACATGACGCCGATTGTTTGTGGTTTCCGCTTGTGATCCCACCGACTGCGGTTTAGGTATTTCCAAGGACATCTTCTACCACGAACTGAACAGAATACTTCGCTGTGTCACCACTTCATGTATCCTTGTTATTGCAGATATGAATTTACATGTAGGCCGCTTGGGCTCTTCACAAGCTCAGCTAGGTGGTAAGTATGGACTTAATTCCGACCGTACACATACTAGCGAGCATCTGTTGCATTTGTGCGAGGAGCACCTGTTGTTTCTTAGTAGCACTGCTTTCAGACAGTGCCACTTGGTGTTCACCTACAGCTCGCCAGCGATAGACCCAACTAGATCATATTGCCTTACGCTACAAGTCGCTTGGTTCCATCCTAGATTATCGCTCGTTTTGGAATGCTTACGTCGACTCTCGTCATGACTTGGTAAGCTGTCGTTTTTCCATGGACTTTACCGTGAGGCATACCAAGCGTCACTCCCCATTGGCAACCGTTACATTATCCCAGCCCTCGGTCAGATAAGCCGACGAGCATGCTCTGCGCACCGAACTTTCGACCTCTCGTCTTAACCATATTGAGCTTCAGTGGGCTGGGATCTCGGCTGCCATGCACGACGCGGGAGCCTCTGCTTGCGCCACTATCAATCGTCACCGCCACCAGTCAGTGGATATCCGGGTGGTCGGTAAACCTGTGGAATCCCTAAGAGAACTCCAGGTTGGCTCTGGACACAATGTGACCGGACGGACTATTAGGCGCGAATCAAACGTGGAGCCTGTGTGCTGACAAGAAAGCCTAGTGGAGTGGTCGGGTTCAACAAATGAAGGAAGCATGAGCAGTAGGGAACTATCGCATGCTCTTCCAACTGACCCGCACTACTGGTCCAACGAAACCGGGCCTCAGTGAAGCAATCAGAGACAGCGCGGGTACCCTGACTCACAATAAGGAGCGCCGTATTGCTCGTTGGGCGAAGCACTTTCCAGATCAGTTCACTTGGCCTCCTGCTCCTTCGGAGGCTGAGGTCCGAAACGTGGTTACAACTGTTATTCGTTTTCGAGCTGCTGGCCCGGATTCCATCGCACCGGTGCTATTTTGGGATGGATGTAAAGTTCTCTGCAAAGCACTGATCACCTTGTTGGAGCAGATCTTTAAGTAGATACAATCCTCGTTAACTGGAGTGAATCGATTATATTGACAATCTACCAGAAGGGCAGTTGCACCGACTGTGCTAACCACATGGGTATTAGCCTAACGCCGGTGGTGACAATTGCTGGTCTCAATTCTCGTTCGTCGCCTTACTGAGGAACAGGAATCCAGGATTAGGACGGAGTAGGCGAATTTCTGCCCAGGATAGGGTTGTATCGACCGTATATTCACTCTGCGGCGGTTGCTAGGGCAGCGTCAAACATGCCGCAGACGGACAATAGCTGTGCTCCTCGATTTCAAAGGTGCATTCGACTCAGTCGATCGATCTATTCTGTTTGGAATACTTTCTCAGAAAGGTGTTCCCGTGAAATATGGGAATATTTACGTGCCCTATACTCGGACACCACATTCCGCGTCAGGTTCTACGGTGACTTGTCGGATATCTTTCCGACTACAAGTGTCGTTCGTCAGCGTTGTCCAATTTCCCCATTTTTGGTCCACTTCGTCGTGGACTCCATCAGGGAGTGTTCCTTTGCGGACTCTAACGATGCAGGCGCTGAGATGCTGCCTGGTGGAAAGCTAGTTGGTCTTGTAATGTAATCTCAACAGTCTAGCAAATAGACTTAGAGCCAACAAAACCATGGAGATCAGTGGATAGGAGACAGTCATTGCGTCATAATCATCGTGGCATGGTAGTTGAAGGTGGGCAACACACTTCGGCTAATATGTCGCACGAAGAATGGAACATTTTGATAAAAATAGAACAAAACCTTTTTAGTTTGTTTGTCACACGCCGATTTTTCTTGTCATTTTCAATGTTGGTAGTATTACACATGTGAATCAATACAATACTGTACACAATTCTTCCACTGATTCCGGTTGCGGGCCATGTCTTCAAGAGTCCTAAGCCATTGGCACTCCTCATCTTTGGGTCCCCATCCTGGAAGACGTACGGATCCAACAGTGGCTAGACACGACGGCAGCGATTTCATGTGCTGCCGCCAAGTGAAAGGCTGACCACCACGCGGTCGCTTCCACCCAGGTCCTTGACGAGCGAATAGAGCACGACGCGGTAGACGCTCAGGTGCCATGCGTAGGACATGACCGAGCCATCTTAACTGGTGCAACAAAACCAGTTTGTTGAAGGAAATACTTGCATTCCCCAAGATGCGACGTCGAACGTCATTACTATTAACTCGATGTTACCACCAAACACGAGCGATCCTCCTTAAGCAACCGGCATCGAAGGCAGAAAGACGACGCATGTCTTCCACGCGAATCGACCAAGACTCGCACCCATACAGCAATACTGAGCGAACTGATGCGCTGTAAATGCGGCCCTTTAGTGAGAATGAGACGTCGCGACGACGCCACAAGTGCCTCAGATTGACAAATGCTGATCGAGCTTTAGCGATACGAAGCGAAACTTCTTTGTTGATAGTGCCGTCAGCAGAAACACATCTCCCAAGGTTGACGAGACTATCTACCTGTTCAGGTTGTGCACCTTCGAGAGTGAGCACGGGAGCAGGTGAAAGCCAATCCTTGAGCAGTACTTTACACTTCGATGGGGCGAAGCTCATGTCATAGTTAGATGCTTCAACCGCCAAACGATCCAGAATGAGTTGCATACCCTGACGATCGTCAACAAGTAAGGCGATATCATCAGCATAATCTAAGTCGATCGCGCGCTCACCCGGTAGAAGCTCTAAGCCAAAATGTCGGAAACTTTCTAGGGCATTCGATAGAACGTCTTTGATTGCGAAGTTGAAGAGGAATGGGGACATAGGGCAGCCCTGTCGCACACCGCTATTGACAACGAATTGCTAGAAAAGCTTGCCATAGACCCTCACTCTGCCGGATGTATGAAGGTAAAGTGCTCGTAAGATGGCGGTATATTTCTCTGGTACCCCGTTCTTTAGCAAGCAACGCCATAAAGCAGGTCGATCAACGGAGTCAAAAGCGGCACGTATGTTTAGGAATGCAACGACAGTGGGCCTGTGATAAATGTGGCGATGTTCAACGAGCTGGCGGAGCGTGAAGATTTGATCCACGCATCCGCGGCCAGGACGGAAACCAGCTTGTTCTTCACGGTAGTATGATTCACGTACTGGGGATAGTCTACGAAGCAGAAT